TCCGCCTGATGGTAAAGGCCATCTCGAGGCAATATATCTCCTCGACAATGCCCGTGTATCCGAATATTACCTTGCGGTGAAGCTTATCTCCGGCGCTCGGCATAGGACGGCTCCATTCCCGTGCCGCGTCCACCGGTGTAGTGGCCAAAAGCTGCGCAACCTCCTCTGTGACCTCCGTGGGGAAAGCGATCGCGAGCGCGTCTGTAGAGGTGGCGCCACACGGTAGGTCTGCCCAATGAAGAAACGTTGGATTCGGTAGCGTTTCTGAAACGGCCCCATACGTGATCCTGGCCATCGCTCGGACGTCCATTCCCTGTGTTTTTTTCGGTTTCGTGCTTGGTTTTTTCGCCAAATGATCAAGGATGCTCCTCGATGGTCCTCGCCGCAGGAAAAATGCACACGCCCGAGCGATGCCAAGAGATGTAGAGAGAGAGAGAGAGAGAGAGAGCAATGGAGCAATGGCCGAGGGCGCAGAAGGGGATCCCGACTGAGCCTCGTAGAGAGAGAGAGAGAGAGAGAGAGAGAGAGAGAGAGAGAGAGAAAAGAGAGAGAGAGAGAGACACCGGGCCTCACAGCTCCTTGGAGGGTCGCGAACTGAGCAACAGTCGCCACTCTCGTGGGCTCCTGGGACGTGCAACGCAAAGGAAATGCAAGCGGATCCAGACGGGACCCCGCGTCTCCCTGGGGGACTGCGAGCTGCGCAACTGTCGCCACTTTCGTGGGCGCCTGGCGAAGCGCAGATCCAGATCCAGCTGAGACCTCGCGGCTCCTTGGAAGGCCGCGAACTGCGCAACTGTCGCCTTCCTTCGCGGGCTCTCGGGGGTGCAGTGGAATGGACTTACACGCAGATCCAGACGGGACTTCGTGGCTCCCGGGGGGGCTGCGAACTGCGCAGCTGTCACCACTTTCGCGGGCTCCTGGAGGGTTCAGCGAAATTGACTTACACGCGTGTGGGCCGCCTCGCTCCTTGTGCGCCGTCCCCCTGGCCAGAGCCACCATAGGGCTCGGCAGCGGGCCGGGTGCATCAGCCACCATGGGGCGATGCCACCCGACCGCACCGGAGGCCACCATAGGGCTTCCAACGGCGACCCGGTGTGGGTGTGGGGGACGGGCGAGAGGGACTTCATGGAGCTCATTGCCTTCAATGGGAATCCGAGCCACTCCTGGCGCAGTACGTGCGACGCCAGGGGGGGGCGGCCCGTCCACCCACCTCCCCACCGTAGGGGGAGGTGCGAAGTCCCTGTGGACGGGACAGGGTGGGCACTGAGGGGTACCATAGGCCCTTCGAGAACCAAAGGGGGTCACCACGCGCCCGCCACCACCAACGGAGGTGCACCATATGTCCTCCACCCTTTATTCCATTCGATATTCAGTGAGCCTTTCAATTTGATACTTCAACCTCTCTCCAGTCTGGGCCGTGAGCGGGACTTGTATCCCCTGCTGGCCGTCAAATGTCCCTACATTGACTTCAGAGAACTTATGGAACTTGGGAAGGGGAGGGTGGGAGGTTTTGTTCCTCCTCGGGGGAGTAGGAGCGAGGTGTTCGACGGGGGCGTGACGCCGCGAGGTGGCGGCTCACTGGTGGGGTGCGCAGTGCGCATCTGTCGCCGCTTGCGTGGGCTTCTGGGAAGACCACTGGAGTGGAATTACACGCTGATCCAGGCTGGACTTCGCGGCTCCGTCGGGGGCTGCGAACTGTGCAACCGTCGCCACTTTCGTGGGCTCCTGGGAGGTCTGGCGGGATGGACTTGCACGCAGGTCGGGCCGAGACCTCGCGGCTCCCTGGTAGGCTGCGAACTGCTCAACTGTCGCCACCTCCGTGGTCGTGGAAATTCTAGCGGATCCCGACGGGACCTCGCGGCTCCCTTGCGGGCTGCGAGCTGCGCATTTGTCGCCACTCTCGTGGGCTCCTGGGAGATCCACCTGAGTGGAGATACACGCGGATCCAGGCCAGACCTCGCAGCTCCTTGGGAGGCTGCGAACTTCACAACTGTCGCCACCTTCGCTGGCATCTGGGAGGTGCAACGGAGTGGAAGTACAAGCGGATCCCGACGGGACCTCGCGGCTCCCTTGTGGGCTCCGGGCTGCGCAAGCGTCGGCGCCTTCGCGGGCTACTTGGGGGGTGCAGCGGGATGAACTTACACGCGCATCCAAACAGGACTTCGCGGCTCCGTGGGGGCGGCAAACTTTACAACTGTCGCCACTTTCGCGGGCTCCTGAAGGTCCAGCGAAATTGAATCACACGCAGATCCGGTTGGGACCTTGCGGCTCAATTGGGGGGGCGAACTGCACAGTGGTCGCCACCCCCGTGGGGTCTTGGGAGGTGCAGCGGAATGAAATTACACGCAGATTCAGCTCAGACCTCGTGGCTCCCTCGGGATCTGCGAACTGTGCAACTGCTGCCGCTTTCTTGGGCTCCTGGGAGGTCGACCGGAGCGGAGTTACACGTAGATCCAGCCGAGACCTCGCGGATCCCTTGTGGGCTGCGAGCTGCGCAACTGTCGCGACCTGTGTGAGGCCCTGGGGGGCCCAATATAATTACGTCTTACAGGAATCAGAATTAAGCTTCGCGTTCCCTAGTGGGCTGCGAATGGCGCAGATGTCGCCACTTTCGTGGGCTCCTGGGAAGCCGAGCGAAGTCTTACGCAGATCAGAATAAGGCCTCGCCGTCCTTGGGGGCTGCGACCTGCGAGGCGATCGCCGTTCGCCGTTCGCAGATCGCAGCGCGATGGGGCGCCGCGCAGCGCATGGCGCTGTCCTGTGTCCACGCCGCATCCTCTCTTCAGCTGCCTCTTGACGGTAATGCGCTCGCGCCTTTGCTGCGCTCAGCGCAGAGCAATGTTCTGTAATATTGCGCATGACGCTGTTCTGCACTGTGGATGTAGCGCACGGCGCTGCCACTCCCGCTAATCATTTGTCCATTTATCCCTTCTTCGTATGTTTCTACACGCGTCGTTCTGCTTCTTTCGTCTGCTCGTGGTCGCTTCCTGCGAATGATTAAAGTCGCAAGAGTGATGCCGCGATTGGGAATCATTTGACTGTGGCCCGGAGTTTGTTGGCGACGCCTTCCAGGGTACGGTGCGTCCTTCAACGCTTGCCTTTGTATTGTGCTGTCTTGTGTATAGTCGTGTGATGTGTGCAAAGGGTTGTGTGCTCTATGTCCCTGGCTAATTTCTCTATCCGCGGACGCGCGTCATAGCCGACCTGGAACTCCACAACATACAACATCGCATTGTGTTCAGTCGGTAAAGGGAAGCTTGTGGGACCTGTGCGACCTGGGGGATCTATGTGGCATTTGGGGCCTGTGAGACCTGCGACAAGTTGTGGGATTTGTGGAACCTGTGGGATCTGCCAGCTTTGTGGGACCTGTGCAACCTGCAAGACCTGTGGGATTTGTGGCACCAGCGGGACCTCTGGGACCTGGGGAACCTCTGTAGGACCTGTGAGGCATGCGACACCTCGGGGACCTGTGGGACCTGTCGACATTGTGAGACCTCTGGGGCATGCGAGACCTGCAACACCTGTGGGACCAGTCACACCAATGCTACCTGTGGGCTGACCTGCGACACTTGTGGGCCCTGTGGGACCTGTGGGGCCAGTGAAACATGCGAGGCCTGTGTGGCATGCAAGACCTGTGGGAGCCAGCAAAGTAGTCCACGGTGGTGCAGTAGCGCCATTCTGAACGACGGACGTATGTCGCTAATTCGAAGATGAAGCCAGCGCTGCAGAGAGAGAGAGAGAGAGATAGAGAGAGAGAGAGAGAGGGAGAGAACGAGAGAGAGAGAGAGAGATAGAGAGAGAGAGCACCTTTTTTTCTGTCTCTCTCTCTCTCTCCCTCTCTCTCGAAAAGTTGTGCATGATCGGATTGCGGACTGCCATACGCAACAAACAAATCGAACAACTCCTGCGTAAGCAAACACGGCGCGGAGGGGCGAGTACTCTCAGGACATCTTCGGGGGAGAGACGAACGTATGATGCATAGTGTGTCATGGCTAAGAAGAGCAAGACGAAAATCAAAGTGTGTGGGCATCGTCTGGGCCTTCGAAGGCCTCGCACGGATGAGGCGGGGGTGAGTAACTCCGCCGAAGCACAGAGGATCGTAACATGTGACGTCTCTCTCCCTCGGGTCCCGTCGGGCGGTGTGGAACTCATTGAGGGATGTTCGAAAACTCCTCGAGAGCATCTCGAGGAATATGTGGGAACCTCTCTCCGAAGTGTCTTGGGGGCCCCTTGGGCCTAGTGGCGTGGCGCCTCCCAAATGGGCTCCATATGTAGCACGCGTTTGGGGAGGATGAGCTGCTTATCCCGCCAGCCCTCTGGGCATCCAATGATCTAGGGTCCCCTCCCTGGTGGGCTCCTCTCCTTGCTGGGGAAACACTTGCCTACCCTGCTCCACCTTGCCGCGCCTGGCCAACCAAGGAGAGAGGGACGGGCCACGTATGGCACTCCTTGATGGGCCGCTCTCGAAACTATGGGAGGCCTCCTGGTGCTCACTTGGAGTTCTTTTAGCGTGATCTTGGCACCAATCGGGGTATGTTTGGGGTTCTCGTCGGGTTGAGGTCTGTTTTCAGCCCTCCTTGACCATTCGGTCCGCTATTGAAAATCTCGTGGGCCCCTCTTGGGGCCCTTTCGAGCCATCGCATGGCCAGCCTCCGCGTTGTGGGGTCGCGAAGTCTGAAGGGGAGGCACCAGTCTCGATACTAGCACAATTCTGGCCGATGAAGCGACGCTAGGATGACTTCGGCAGGGAAACTCGGAGTTATACGGACTAGCGAATTTAACTTTTGTGGCTGGGGAGCCCTAGAACTCTCGACCTTTCCCATGATTTGTTTCGCCCCAGGTTGTTATCAAATGGTCATAAGACTTGGAGACGGCCCCCACGAGCTGAGATCGAGGAGAAATGCCGGCATCGAAGCAAATCACGACCACGAATGTCTGGGCTTTCATCCCGGACCAGGGCATGCGCTCATGACGGGCAAAGAAGACTTGAGTGGGCGCTCCTTGGAAGTGACTCGCATGGCACTCCATGAGCGGGTCCTGCGAACAATCCCTCTCGCGCTCAACGCCATGCTTTATGCGTGCTCTGCCTCGCAACGTGCTCACATGGAACCGCTCATCGATTCTCCATGCTCTGAGCTCACTCCCGGGTCCGTATGCTCTCCCCGGTGATCACCCCTAATTCTCATCACTCCGTTCTCTCCCCTCGCTCTCGCTGTCTCTCTCTCTCTCTCTCCCTCTCTTTCCCTCTGCCTCTGTCTCTGGCCCCCATGTTACGGCATCCCCCTTTGGCTCCGCCATCGCAAGACTCAAAAGGGCACAGCTGAATCAATTTCCGCAGCGATGCGTTCCTCCATTCGCGCTAACAATATGGCCCTCAAACCGTCGCCGCCCCGTCGCCTTCCAATCGCGCTCGCTCGGCCAAGTCTGCTTGATCTAGGAGGAGGACAGGGAAGGGGGGGAGGAAAAAAAGATATTAGATAATTGTTTTCGGGTCTCATGAATTATTGAGCGTGAAATATCCAACTCCGAGGCTCCAGATTGAACCTGCAGTCTGGAATTCAAATTCTCAATCCCACATTCGCGGGATCGACCCATTGAAACATTCAACTTTTACAATAAGACTTGCGAGATTGAGCATTGAACATTGAAATTGTTCAACCTGGTTACTCCACGAACCAAATTATTACAAACCAGAGGAGTTCCCCAAACAGTGCTTGAACTCAGGGCGTTTTCTTTTTGCTTTAAGGATCTGAGCTAGTGTGGCTATCTGGCGGCTATGTTCCCGCCGTCGCCACCCCTTCGCCGCCTCGTCGCCGCCCGTCGTCTGAGCCGGAGTGGCGGTCTGGCGGCTGTGTTCCCGCCGTCGCCGCCTCGTTGCCGTGTGGCGGTCTGGCGGCTATGCTCGTGACGTCGCTGCCCCGTCGCCGCCTCGTCGCCGCCCGTCGTCTGGGCCTTGTTACACGTTACCGTGCACTGGTTTCGCATGGCTATGCCGTGCTTTGCATTGTATTGCAGTGCATCGCTTTGCGTTGTTTCGCATTGCGTTACATTGACTTGCATTGTTTTCCTTGCATCGTACCACATTGCGTGCACTACGCAGCTTGCACCGCATACGTTGACCGCGCTGTTTTGGGTCCAACCAAGCGCTCCCAGGCGCTCCCAAGCATTTCGAGGCGCTCCCAAGCGCTCCCCGGCGCTCACCGCTCTCAGGGCTTTCAGGCGCTCCCCAGGCGCCCCCCGGCGCTCCCAGGCACTCCCCAAGCGCTCCCAGGGCGCTCCCAGGGCGCTCCCAGCTGCTCCCAAGCGCTTCCAGGCGCTCGCCAGCCGCGCCACGGCGCTCCCAAGCGATCACACGCTAGCTACACATTCTATTCTTCAAGCTTGCCAAGTCTCAATCCACGCCTTCGCAAAATAAAACATGAAATGCCCTCTGGGGCCCTGAAGCTTTGGTAGCAACAGGGTTTCGAGCGTAAAGGGTGGGAGGAGTGGGGGGCCAAGGTAAGGCGGAAGGGAAATGAGGGGGTCGACAAAGATGAAAACGGACTCGAATCCAGAAAAATGGCCCGCGCTAAGGCGAGAGCATCTTCTGGGAGGAGAGGGCGGAGCATCTTCTGCACACAGGGTCAAGGGACATATTGGAATATACTCTAAACGGTGCAAATGTGCAGGAGAAGGAGGCGGAAAAGGAGGAGGAGCAGGAGGAGGAGGGAAGAGGAACAGGAGGGATGAAGATCGGGAGAGATGAGGAGGAGAAGGAGGAGGAGGACCAATGTAAACACACGACGCATCAACGATGTTGCAAGGAAGCCTCCCTCCACATTCCCTCTTCGCAAGTACTCCATAAGAACTTGTTCATTGCGGGAAGCGCCCAATTGAAAGACAACCGTCTGAGAACCCCCGAACTTGTCAAAACACAACTCCTGGGACTTCACCACAACGAACGTGACATTTCGCAACGCGTGCAACCCTCAAGGCGCGCGCGATGCATAACTCACCCTTTGCTGGGTCCACGTGAAGACGTGCGGGGCCTCGAAGTGCCCGCCTGACAGCGTAGCCTTGAAAATAATCTGGCGTTTTCGAACATCGGGCCATAAGAGCGCGGATGACCTCAGGAATGCCGCGGTCCGCCCAAGAAGCTGAACACTGCCCCACCTTCGCAGCCAATGCTGATGAACGTGCCGGAGCGCGTCGCGACATCTTTGCCCACATCGCGATCGAGAAAACCAATGCCGAGGTCAAGTCGGACCCGAAGACATCTTGACTTGCTCGAATGATGCCACTGCGTATTGAAACAATCAAAACTCAGAGCGGCTGCATGGTCCTCCGACGTGATCGAAGGACGCACTGATGAACAGGCCGGCGTTCTCACGCATATCCAACAGATACTGCGCCGCGCGGAGGGCGAAATTTACTTGGACCATGGCGGCGCCTTTGCCTGCTCCACACTTGGCACTGGTGATAGAACGAATTTGCCTCAGTGCCTCGGAACGAAAACGGAACTCAAACACAGCTGAAAACTTTAGACGCACTTTGGACAACTCAAACGTTCGGTTTCCTACGGCCTGGGCCACATGGTGCATGCTAGCGCCGTCCTCCCGTGCTTCGAGGCATTGCATGGCTGCGCGAGTCACGCGGGCAATCCGCGCAAGAGACCACGACCGAATGCAGTGGGCGGGTCGCGGCCGACTCGCTGTCGCTGCGCACTCGGTTGGCGAATGATGCGGGCAATGGCATGAAATCGGAATCGCAAGCGCTGCCCAACAACCTTCTGGATTTGCCCCTGACACGCATGAGGAGCCATTCCTGGGCCGTATGCAGAAACGCGAATTATGACTGCACAAACGGCCGAATTCTGTTCATGGTGCCGCTCACGTTCAGGGCTGGCCTAAGGAAGGCAAGGCGCTGCGACTCGATGAGAACCAACCTTGCATGGAAGTGCGCTGGCCCACCCTGCGCGACCGGATATGCACAAATCTTGACACATGCAACTTCTGAAACTGATTTGACACGGAACTTCTCCTAGAACAACGCGCCATTTTCGCAGTTCTGATCCGTGCTGGTGGAGACGATGCCACCCAGTCTCCCCAAGTTGTCCACTGCGCGATTGTCGACAAAAAAATCGTCCATGTGACGGGCACTCCGCCCGTTCTGAGGAGCATGCCTTCACTTGGCCCCTATGAGTTCCCAGCGGGCAACTACCTCTGGTCGCGCCAGTTCGAAGGCGATGCGAGAAAATCTCGGCGCAGTCTGATGATTTGCAGCCTCATCATGGAGGGTCATGCTCCAGACGTTGGTTCTTGAAAACAACACTCTACGACGGTGCGGCCGCGCCAGGGTTCCAAGACTCATTTCACAAGTGGAACGTGGCTAGCAGTAGCTTCGGATGTCAATACGGACAATGCGATATGCTTGATTGATAACTGGCAGACGGCTGCGGGAATGTCGCGACCGGGGTCATGCTTGTTGGATTCCTTTTGCCCGTAAGATTCTCTATGCATTAAATGGATGAGGGGGTTGCATCCCGGCGCGTTTCCTCGCCAGTGGCTGGCCATCGCTCCGCTGCACTAGCCGCGGTATCATACCGATCACTCCGCGGTCCACGCACCTTCTGGAAAGTCGTCGGCCGCCGACTCCTAGGATCAACGCCTGCTCTGGCCACATCCAACTTGCCGGTCCCAGGGTAAGAAAGTGGGGCTGCTTGTCCTCTGTGCGCATCGCGCGAAGGCACCATCGTTCAAGTCCAGGCACAAGCAATCAGGACTCCACAGGACTCCTGGCGCGGAACGCAAATGTGCCGAGGACAACATACGTTCGGTATGGTGGATGATGATCCATCTATCAAGCAAGAAAGGCGCCTAAATGTAAAATAGTGTACGTCATGATTTTTGCGTCGTGTTTCTGTTTAGTGTTGCTACGTCATGCTTTCTAAATCAGTTTTTGCGTGATGTGTTGTTGCTGTGTGTTTTTGCGTAGTGCTTTGCGCGCAGTGTTTTGCGTGTTTGCGCGTGGTGTTTTGGCGTAGCGATTCTGCGTGGTAGATGTGCATCGTGTTCTCGTGTAGGGTATTTGCGTTGCCTTTTGGCGTCGAGTACTTGCGTCGAGTACTTGCCTAGAGTATTTGCTGAATTGTACTTTGCGTAATGTATTTCGCGTAGCGCATGGGCGTAGTCTTCGATTGGTAATGTTTTCGCGTCGTGCGTTTCCATGGTCGGCCCACGAACTCGGAACGTGATGCAGAATTGCGAAGCCTGGGGACGCTTCCCAGCACCTCAACCGGGCGATGGGCAGTGGCAATGCTGTAGATGTCCGCGGTGACGCTACTGAGCCGAGGGCTGCGTCGTGCTCCTCTGCGCTATGCCGCGCCGCACTTTGACATAAAAGGAGATGCGTCACGTAATGTATTTGCGTAGTGAATTGGCGTACTGTACTCACGCTGTGCGTTTCGCGTAGCGAATGGACCTAATGTTCTCGCGTGGAAATAGCGCATAGTGCTTCCGCGCGTAAACATTACGGAAAACCACTTCGCAGTGTGCTCGCGCAGTTTTGTTGGCGTAGAGTGTTTCGGCGAAATTATTTGCATTGTATCGTCGCGTCGTGTTTTCCCCCAAATAGCTTGCTGAACGGGGTGTTGTTGTGATAGAGGCTAACTCCGGCCGAGGGAAAGGGGAGCAGAGACATCCTCACAAACATCTGATGGTCCGGGCCGTTTCGCTTGAGACATCCTCACAACTCTCGTTTCTGAATTGGCTAGGATTGGCCGTTTCGCCTGAGACATCCTCGAAAAGTTGCACTCCGGGACGCCGCGCGAGAGGTGGTCTGGGCCGTTTCGCTTGAGACATCCTCGAAACTCTGAGCCCTGAGGTGCCGTGCGAGAGGTGGTCCGGCCCGTTTCGCCTGAGACATCCTCGCAACTCCCGGCTCCGAGATGACGCTTGCGACGTGGTTCGGCCTGTTTCGCCTGAGACATCCTCGAAACTCTGAGCCCCGAGATGCCGTGCGAGAGGTGGTCTGGTCCGTTTCGCCTGAGACATCCTCGCAACTCTAGGCTCCGAGATGCCGCTTGCGAGGTGGTTCGGCCCGTTTCGCTTGAGACATCCTCGCAACTCTGGGCCCTGAGGTGCAGCGAAAGAGGTGGTCTGGCCCGTTTCGCCTGAGACATCCTCGCAACTCTAGGCTCCGAGATGCCGCTTGCGAGGTGGTCTGGTCCGTTTCGCTTGAGACATCCTTGCAACTTTGAGCCCCGAGGTGCAGCGCAAAAGGTGGTCTGGCCCGTTTCGCCTGAGACATCCTCGCAACTCTGAGCCCCGAGATGACGCACGAGAGTTGGTCCGGCCCAGGGAGGGAGCAGGAGGAGGAGAACAGGAGGAGGAGGAGGAGGAGGGGAGGATAGGGACCGGAGGAGAGGAGGAGGGGAGCAGGAGGAGGAGGAGGATAGGGACCGGAGGAGAGCACGACGACGAAGACGAAGAAGGAGACGACGACGATGACCACGGCGACAACGACGACGACGACGCGGACGACGACGGCGACGACGACGACGCGAAGGTCTTTGCACAGATTCTTGACCCCGGGAGCGTGTTGGAGGCCTCTTGGGGCCATCGCAGGGCCCTCTTGGGGCCATGTTGGAGGCCTTGGGCCCTCTTGAAGCTCTCTGGGAGCCCTCGTGGGCCCTCTTGGAACCCTCTTCAGGATTTTGCCATCTTGGGGGCCTCCTTGGGGAGCTCCGTGGCCATTGCAGGCCGCCTTGGAACGGTCTCATATCCTCTTCGAGGCATGCCAGAATTGATACGGAACCATGTCAGCTTATCTTGAGCCAATGTGGTAGCTATCTTGTGCTCTCGGGAGCCTCTTGGAACCATATTGGGCCATCTTGACACTCCAACGACACGCGGGGGAACCGTTGCAGACCCAGAGGGAGGGGGTACGGGGAGACAGGAACCCTTCCCCGAAGGGGAAGAAAAAGGGTTGGAAGGAGGAGTTCGCTAAGCAACTCACGCGTCAAAGTGCATGTTGCATTTGTAGATGCACAACAGCCTGGCTGGCATGCGGTCCAAGGTTGGACGCGTACGGCTCATGATTTGTGGAAGCCAAGCCCACAGGAACCCCCAAGACCTCCTACCGAACACCTTGATGCCTTCGTGTACAGACATGCGCAAACCTATGCGCCTTCGAGAAATAGGTCTATCTCTTCTTTACATACATCCCGCTTGTCGGCGGTTGACCCGCCTGCCTCCATTCCAGTTAGCATGGGCGGGGCCGTCGCTGCAGCAGTATTGAACCGTCGCTGCGGCGGTCTTCAACGAGGCCTCCGACCAAGACCTCCCCCAAGGGCAACCAGGATAACCATCATTACATGCCCCCCCCTGCTTCCTTGCCCTCCCCCGTTTCCTCTTACAGTTGCTTCCGGGTTCACAGCATGGCGGTGGAGCCTCTGACAGTGCCGACCCGACAACTTACTTGTCGACCAGGTGCGAAGGAGGGGGGAGGGAAGAGGGAAGCAGAACGACACCCTCAAGCGCTGGCTTCATGAGAGGCATGCGTCACACAAGCTGTTGTGAAACATTTCAATGTGCAAACTTCATGCTCTCGTATTTTAACTTGTCATGCCAACCCACACTGGACGGGCACGCAATCGACGTTGGAAACCACAATGAATATAACAATTCTGTTTGGGGATACTGCGCTCCGGCTATAATTGCGTGGTGTTTGTGCGTTCTTTGTTCTTTTTAGATAGATGATATATACCGTAACACCCCGCAGATGCGGATAAGAGTGACGGGGCGGTGGGAACGTCGGCACTTGGCGAAACTCTGGAGAAGCCCGCCGCAGCCGCCAATGTTTCACAAATTATACAACGAGCCCGCCGCAGGCGCCGATTTTTTCGTTAAACCAATGTGGGTAGGTCGCGGGCGAGTAGCGGGTGGGTCGCAAGTGGGTCGCGGGTGGGTCGCTGTTGGGTCGCGGGTGGATCACGGGTGGGTCGCGGGAGTAGAGGGCAGCATTCACCCCATAATAATCACCCCTACAAGCGAAGCCGTTTAGTAAACGCACACAACGAATGAATCGAATAGGGCAGGGCTGTTTAGGTAACGCCCAGGGCCGTTGAATAAACGTCAATTGTCGAGTCCGGGTGATTTTTCCTCCCTGGAGGGTGGTTCGCGGGGTGGGTCGCGGGTGGGTCTCGGGGTGGGTCGCGGGTGGGTCGCGGATGGGTCGCGGATGGGTCGCGGGGTGGATCGCGGATGGGTCGCGGGGTGGGTCGCGGGTGGGTCGCGGGTGGGTCGTGGGTGGGTCGTGGCGTGGGTCGTGGGTGGGTCGCGGGTTGGGTCGCGGGTGGGTCGCGGGGTGGGTCGCGGGGTGGGTCGCAGGGTGGGTCGCGGGGTGGGTCGCGGGGTGCGTCGCGGGTGGGTCGCGGGTGGGACGAATGATTTCTGCTAGTCCCCCCCACCGGTGCGCACTGTTGTTTCTCAATCAATATGCGCCCCCTGGACGCTCGCAACCTGTTTATTTGACAAGGAATGTCATCCCGGCCAAACTGTGCCCCTGGGCCCCCGGCTATAACAACAACGGCTCCCGCCTCAGACGCGCCCAGTGAGGAATATACCCCCCCAAAAAAAGAGTACGATCGAAGACGAAGGGCGGGTATCCAGGGTTTGGGATTTGCATGGTGAATGGCACGCGGGCCGGTAGGAGCGAACAGTCTTAGAATGATTGTTGTTTTTGTTGTTGTTGCTGTTGTATTTTCATGTTTAAGAATAATTATTGTTGATCCCCCCCACCGGTGCATAGTGTTTTTCTCAATCAAATTGTGCCCCTCGACGCTCGCACCCTGTTTTTTGTCAGGGAAAATCTTGATGCTCAAACTCGGCCCCTGGCCTCCGGGTTACAACAACAACAACAACGGCTCCCGCCTGAGACTTCCTTACACTTTAGCCAGGGCCCCCGATCCCGCCCGAGACTTCCTCGCATTTTATTCAGGAATCGCGCTCTCGCTTGGGACCTCCTTACAACTTATTCAGGAATCGCTCTCCCGGCGCTCTGGAATCGCGCTCTCGTTTGAGACTTGCATGCAACTTACTGAAGAATGTCCTTGCGTTGGAATTTCCTGCAATTTGCCCAAACGCCGCGCTCCCGACACCCAGGCACCCAGGAATCGCGCCCGTTGTGGCCCCATGTGCAAGCTTTTCGTGGCCCCGCTGTCGCCATTCGTGTCCCCCTCACTGTCCTACGTGGCCCAGTTGCTACCCTCAGTGGCCCCATAGTTGCCTTCTGTGGCCCCGCATTATCTGCACTTCGTGGCCCCCGCTCGTTCGCGCTATTCGTGGCCCCATACGCATTCCTTTTGTGTCCCCGCTGTCGCTCTTCGTGGCCATACTTCGTGCCCTTCGTGGCCCTGCTGTCGTTCTCTCTCGCTCTCGCTTTCGCTCGTCGTCGCCGTCTTCGTCGTCGTCGCCGTCGTCGTCGCCGTCGTCTTCGACGTCGTCGTCGTCGTCGTCGTCGTCGTCGTCGTCGTCGTCGTCGTCGTCGTCGTCGTCGTGGTCGGTCCCCTGTCCGTCCCTCTTGGGGTCGGGTCGAGGGTCCGCGGCCGCCCCGCCGATCAGCGCAGCCGCTGGCCAGGCCGACGGTCCGCAGCCGCCCCGCCGTTTGCCGGGGCTCGGCCTGCAGGGAAGAAAGATATACCCCCCAAAAGGGGTCCGATCGAAGACGAAAAGGGCGGGTATCGAGGGTTTGGAAAATACGTGTTATTGGACACTCGAGCATATAAGGGCGAACAATCTTGAAATTGTTGTTGTTGTTGTTGCTGCTGCTGCTGTTGTTGTTGTTGTTGTTGTTGTTGAACTTTCCCTT